ACCATAGCTAACTAAAAAAAAAATAAAGAAATAAAAAAAGAATCAAAGAAAACAAAGGAGATTCTGAAATTCCTTGCTCTTCCCTTTACAAACTCTTGAATCACCAAGGACAAAAATATAAGAAAGCAAGTTGATCCATTACACACATCTGTGGGACAGACATTTAGCAAAGACTACGTCCAGATTTTGGACTGAGTAGTGCACCAGAACTTAGCCTCTGCTTTGCCATATCCATCATATCCATATACAGGTATTTGTAAATGAATTTGTCTGAACTTGCAGGTATTTTAAGAAAAATAGGCTTCTTCAGATGCCTGGCTAGCGTGCTGTGTGCTGTCCCTGTTGCTGCCTGCCAGGCACAGAGATATGAAGGCTGCAGTCTCACAAAGGCTAGTATAGTCGGGCAGTGGTTCATGCTGTCGAGGCATATGCAAACTGAAGCTGTGGGGCTTTTGTTTCCAAAGCTTAGTAGAATTCCCAATGTCAAAAATGCTCGTAGCTCTGGGAAGAAATGGGAGGTTGGAGTGGGGGGGCTAACCTGAACTATTAGGTAAGCTGGTGAGAAATTTTTCCAAATCCTTCCTTAGGATAGGGAAGAGGTGTGAGAAGCATTCCCAAATTACAGCAATGGTTCAAGTCAGGATAGTCAGGTCTTTGTGCCTTGGTGACAGCAGACATCATCCTAACAAAATTGTTTTGAAACACCTTACTGACCGACTGAGAGAGCAATGTGGGGGCCTCTTCCCACAGCAAATAAAATGTATGTGCTACTGTCATCCACCAAGAGCTTTTCAGATATTTTTCTAATGAAAGATAGAGTAATACAGGACAGAGTTTAACACTGTATAGTCAGGATAAAACCCTGACTTAATTTCTGAGAGAGTAGAAAATCATACATGCCTGCATTCCCTCAACAGAGATGGACCATCTTCTCTCTCTGGGGGTATGTGATTCACTTATGAATTACAGAGTCTTGCTAAAAATCAGATGCTCTGTCAGCATGTGACTGCAGCCTCTGCGGTTTGTCTTGCAGTGTTTTGTTTTGTGAAGCAACCCTGAGCAAAGGGGAGTGCTCATCACAAGCAGGGATAAGCTTGGTGGACAAACCAGAATGCAAAATGCCTTTCACATCAGTGAAAGAGGAAACATCTAAGAGTGCTGTCCTCTTCGTGTGCTCTTATGTGCCTCTTATGTGTCCCTAAGCATAGAAAAGGATTAAATAAATTAGCAGGAGTTCTGCATTTCAGATCAGTAATTTTGCACTGAATCGCTGGGATGAATCAAAAATATTTTTAAGACATCTTAATTTGAGGAAAATAACAAGTTCCTGTATTAACTTTATATAGTACTTGTGCTGTTTCATAGTCTTGTCCTTATATGAAGGATATTAGAGATCCACATTATATCCTTCAGTACCCTAATTTTTGTTCACATCTAAATTAGCTCAAAGATGTATGAAATCACAAGGTGTCTCAGAGACCCTTGCAAAATAAACACTTACAGAATACCCAGAGTGTTTATTTTTAACAAGTATTTGTATGTGAATTATCATGTGACTGTGAAATGTCACAGCTCTGTTTGTTTTTGCTGAGGGGAGGTGAACAACAGAGGTATGGGCTAAAACATCACACCTTTTAGGATAGGAAGGAGTTTAAATGCATTCTTGACTTTGAAAATGTTAAAATAGTCTCTAGGAGACTTGCATTTTAGCCTCTTTATTTAATTTCCATTTTAAAATGCTGATTTAAATAGATAAATGGCTGTTACACATTTTATATTTTAGAGCACCACGCCAAGCATGATGGGGGGGTAATTTTTTTTTCCTAATTATGTGCTTATGAGAGTTGGAATCTGACTTTTATATGTAATACAGAGAAATATCCAGGAATTTAGGTGCTTACCTGAATGCACCTATTTATTTATCTGATACTCTTAAAAGGTGAAGCTTTCTTCCTTATTTTTCTCACAGCGACAATTCTAACCAAAACAATGTGAGATTATGGTGCTAAGCAGATAAACAGCACTTGCTTTATCCCAGACGCAATTGTTTGTATCACTCACTACTGAGTTGGCGTACTTTTGTGGCATCCTAACTGGATATGAATAATGTATACAAATACCAAAATACAAGGAAGTGCAATAAGTGATCCAGTCAAGCAAGAAATTAAATTACAAGTGGTGTCCTTATTCCTGTGTTTTATGCCAAGAAAGATACTAGCTTTCCCCAGGATTATGTAGTACTGCCTTTGCTTCCTCTCAGTCAGGAAGCAGAGATTATGGTACATGACTGTAAAGCTCCCCTCTGATGTGACTGTCTATCTGTGCTTCATTGTGCTTAAGTACTGAGATTCATTACACAAAGCTTCCTGATGCTAGCCACAGCAGTGCCCCTAAGCAAAGCAACATTTTGTGATTCAGCATCCTGACAGCAGAAAACAAGAGCAGGAGTTGTGAAGTTTTCCTGCAGTCCTTTGTTAAGAACCAGGCTGCACTCAGAGGCCATTCCTTGGATTTGTGTCCTGTCAAAATCCCTTGGGAGAACAAAGCTGAGACTAACCATGAAATGGAAGTGTCAAAATTGCCCTGGACTGATAATTTTCTAGAAAGGAAGGAAATTGCAGAAAACTTATGCAACAGGTCTCTCTCATTTAAAGAGACCATACAAATAAAATGTGGCTCTGACTGGTGAAAAAGAAACAGAATTCTGGACGGGAGCTCAGGGTGCAGGCAATGTATCCTGTAAACTTATTCAATACAATATGGGTTTTATGTGAAAGTGGTTTATCCCCACTACTTTTAATGTAGAACCTCACAGCTTTTCTAAGTTATTTCTCTTAAATGTAGCCTCAGACAGCCTCTGTTAGGTTATGGAAGAAACCCCAGAGGATTAAGCCTAAACTACCAGACGTCTTAGCTTGTACTTGATGACAAACATCTCAATCACATTGTGCATCTGTCCCTGCTCCTTCTCCTCAGCTTACCCTAGAAGTGACACGTGATCAACAGAGTTATGCATGTGCTGGGACTCCCTTTATCTGGTGTAATTCGCAAGGAAAACTTACTGTGCTTTATGTAGCCCTGTCCCTTATTTCTCGTTACAAGGATAAAAAAACCTCTCTAACACCAGATTAGTTATTTTGCGCATATATACACAGATAGACAATTTGGTGTATAATTTGGTATACACATCCACCATGCCTGATTTTTAAGTAAATACAATATTTAGTAGTTATTTAAAAGAGAAAGAATGTAAGTGTGGAAGTGATATCTCAGAGTCTTTCACCTATTCTGTATTTTTTGGTGTATGGGCCAGAACTACATTATATGTACATCACAATCAAATGAAAATTCAAGGCTATGGAGGATAATGTGAGATATAATGACATAGCCCAAATTTAATGGACAACCCTGCAGCAGGCCTAGAAGAGATTGCTACAGGATTATTATGTTTCAGACACCCCTCTTATTTTGTGCTTCTTCCCAGTTCTTTAACATCAGTTCTAGGAGTCCCTTTGGAACCATGTAACTGTCTTCTGGGATTTTTAAATATTCACTTAAATCAATATACTGACAAGGACTGAACAGCTTGACTGAGTTTGTTGTATTTTCTTACGTGAAATTCACATCACATACACAAGAGAACTGTCACATGTCACAATGCTCCATGTCTGCAAAATCATTCATGGTTTAAGACCAGTAAGCAGCCCAACAAAGCCATCAAACACACCAACTGCTGAGAGAGAGATGTTTGGCATTAACACCTTCAGCTATCTTTGTGAAAGCACAAGATGCTTTCCCACAAATGCACTGTAACCTCAAAAAGGGTGAAGGACTACACTGAATACTGAAGCTGAGCAAATGGCAGATCACAGTACCACCTGCCTTCCTGGTGACAGCTCCCTGTGTCATCAGGGAGCCATGCTAGAGACAAGACACCTGTATCTGCACTGTGAAGGAAGCAGATTCCTCCATGATATGCCTTGAGTGTGATGCAAGGGTAAACCAAATGCCCAGGGGTTTTGGAGCCCCATGCCCTAATGAGAAGCCAGGAGCCTTCAAGCCGCAGACCAGCACCTTGTGCCCCATGGTGTCACTGCCGTACAGAGTCAGCCCCAAAAAAGGGCGTGGACATCAACATTTTATTGCTAGGCTAGTGGAGAGGGCAAATATAAAACAACAGATTATGGAAATGAACAATCTTTCCTGTACAATTTTTTCCCACTATTTTCCTTTTCTTTCCTCTTTTTCCTTTTTTTTTTTTTTTTTTTTTTTTTTTTTTTTTTTTTTTTTTTTTTTTTTTTTTTTTTTTTTTTTTTTTTTTAAATTTTAATCTTTGCATTGTTTCCCACTTGCAGGATTTTACATCCTTTCTGCCGTTTCAAAACTCTCTCCCATAATGTGTGATTCCTCTCTGGGGTAGGCCTTAGCAGGATGGCTGTGCGGGTCCAGCAGGTTTAAGGGTCTTCTTGAAAGTGCCTTGGAATGCGGTATTTTCCAAGGTCTGTAATGGTAAAAACAAAGGGCTGTCTTATTGCGTACACAATACTACTGCAGGACGTGAGTTTACCCACTGCATCAATTTTCTAAATTGCAAAGCATATTAGTCTACTGTTTCCGATTAAATTCAGCAATCGTGTCTATACTGGTTTAGTAGCGCTGTAGGAGGATAATACTGCACTAAATGGTAGTTTAGTGCTGAACACTTATTTTCTGTTTCTGGAGGCTCCAGCTCTTGCCCTACTGCATTGTGCATTTGCCTCCTCCCACCAGCATGAAAACCAGTGAAACAAAATATCCTGCCTTCTGGACATACTATGCCCAGATCTTAGCATACCACACATGCTAAGATTCCCCTCATCCCGTTTCTGTGGGAAGCTTTGAAAATTAAGCAACTGAAGAACCCAAAGCCTTTGTGGACTGTGATTACATAGTTCAGTGTGGACAAATGAAATGAGTCCCAGAAAATGTGGCTTGTCAACACAACTAGCTCAAGATGAAACAGCTACTCATCAAGTCAGTTTAAACAGAAAGAGTAACTTAAGAACATCTAGAGATAATTTTATAACTGGCAAGACAAATATAAACCACTGGCAGGTTGTTTCCCTAAGCCATGATAAGGGAACAGGCATGTTACTAGAGGCTGCTGAGAAACTGTATGTAAGGATCGAGCATGGAGAGAGAAAGGACAAAGGACAGGAACAGGCTCCTATAACGGAAGCAGGGTGAAGGTACTACGGGATTTTGGGGGTTTTGGAACTTACAGTTGGAATAAAATAAAGCTATTTTGAGAGATCCTTGGCCCAGATGACTGCCCGGATAGGGCTGAGAGTGGATGCCTGTGACAGCATTCTAGAGGCACGGATTGCCAAAACATGTTAAAAAACCTACATGTTTGGAAAACTACATGTTTGGGAATATTTTAAATCAGCTATTCATTTTTGAGGGCAAACAGACGCCAGAAGAAAAAATAATTGAATGCAAATATACTAAAATTACAAGGGAGAAACAGGTGACCTATATTTTAATGTGGAGTTCTGGCCATTCAGTGAGTCTTACTAGCTGATCTTCCTATCAATTCAGATTTTGCTGCAGAACTTACATTGAGAACTAAATCCTTACTTACTCCGACTCAAAATATGCTAAAATGGTACCCAGACCTGGGGTCTCAACCATAAATTTAAAATAATTTATATGTGACTACCGGGGCAGCAGCTAATCATCGCTGCCAAACCTGGAGCTTATTACCCTAGGATACACAATGAACTTTTTCCCCTCCTGCAACACTGACCCTTCTCATGCTTCTGCAACCCACAAGAGGCATGGGAGAAGAGGTGACCCTTGCTGTGGGGCTCAATCCCTAGTTGAATTGTGTGTCTACTACAGAAAAGCAACACAACAGACCTGCAGGCTGCAGGTCTGGCCTCAGTCTCCAGCACACTGAGTTGGGTCCATTTGAAGCAGTGACTGGGAAAGGTATTTCCTGAACCCTCATCAGAGTTATCATCCTAAGTGTCACTGGATACTTTTCTTCTGCATATAGCACAGCAAGGAGCATTGCTTCTTCAGGGAAGTGATCATACAAATACTGTACAAGAGTGCTCATTGACCCTTGTAGACCAAACATTTGCGGTCAAGAACAAGGCTATTGATCACAGCAAGATCCACGTCCAAAAGTTGCAATCTTACAGCTAGGGAAAAAAAATAGGTTCAAAAAGCTCTCCAAACAAATGCTGCTATGTCGTGTTCCTGTTAACAGCCAGGATCTTGTAACACCATCAAGCAGCAAACTAGCAGTAAATGTCCCCACAAAGCTTCAATAAAAGCAGCAGATATCACTCTCTCTTCATGTCTCCTAGTGGAGCTGCTCTATTTTTTATACTTATTTAAATATTCATTTGGCAAGAGGGAAAGACTGGCAGTTGCTTGGTACTGAAGACAATCGCAAGGGATCTCTCAAACCCAGATTCAAGCTCTCTCACAGAATAATACAAAGTATTTCTCTGGGGTTTGCATCAGGATGTTTTTCGTTTGTTTCACAATACTGCTGGGTGAGAACACAGAGAAAGCAGACTTGCCCTGGGACTCTGCATAGTCTAGTTATAGAGTGTTCACCTGGGAAGTGAAGGAGAGGTTCTTAACCTAATTGAGTGATTTTACTGTTGGTGTGAAGTTCCCTTATGCTTTCCCAATGCCTTCATCTCTCCATGGGGGGAAAAAGAAGTCCCCCTAGCCCAGGGAGAATCCCTACCATCAAAGCC